ATATTGTGTGTGTATATATATATATATATATATAATAAAACCTTAAATAAAACCTGTTGCAGATCAGAAGTTGAAAAGATGGCTGTCTGAGAGGGCGAAGGCGAACGCCGCGCCTCGGCCAGTTTCAGCTCCGTCCTCCTCCTCCTCTTCCTCGTCTCAGTCCTTCCTCAGCGTGAGTATCTTTGTACTTTTATCGTCTGACTTTATTTCATCCGTCCAGTGTCCGAGCCAAGATAAACCACAGACAGTGGATGGATGGATCAAATCCACAAGTGATGGGAGAGCACAAGAGGGTGGGACTCTAACACTTCCTCTCCTCCTCTTCCTCTCCTCCTCTCAGGATAGTAGTGATGGACATGAGGAGGGGGCTCATCACTATGAGGGGTCACAGGAGTCTCTCCAGGACTAATGTCGCCCTCAGCAGCGCCCCCTGCAGCCTGGTCATCACATCTCATTCATCTCATCAACACTTTTCTCTGCTGTCTTTACTCTTAATGTCCGATTTACACTGAGCTGACGAACTGTGATTGAAACTGACGGATGATTGTTGATCAGTTGTGTATTTGCTGTGATAATGACATGTTCTGATAAAATGATCATCGTGTAAATGGTCCCTGATCAATATCTTGTGCTGGGTGCTGCATGTTGTCCAGTGACTCACAGCTTCAGGCTGTGTTGTTCTTTCTGATGACCGCTGACATTCTGCTGCAAACTTTAATCCACCTGACGATGGATTAGTGGATAAAGACGTGTGCATGTGACGTCCATATCAATAAAGAGGGCACGGCGGGTCAGTAATTTGCCTGGTTGGACTTTTGCGCTGATGACTCAGGGATTTTTGCTCTATGCCCAGGATCAAGACTTTTGGCAGCGATGCCAGCGCTTTAAATCCCCGCTCATTGAAAAACCAGCTAAAGTGGGATCTGCTCACCCTTTGATTGAGGTTTATAAAGCGGGGCTCCGGTCCTGCTTTGTGAGACCACCAATTTTCCGTCGGCGACCGGCTCCAGTACTCTTTGCAGGATGAGTAGTAAGGTAAGAGTTTTCTCTATCAGTCGTCATGGGGGAGAATAGTGGTGTTTAGCCAGCGCAGCTTTTACTGGAGTTTAACTGAAACGTTAGGATGTTTTGCAAAGTTTCTGTAATTGGAATGAAACTTCTTGCTTCATGTTGAGGTTCTGGGCTTTAAGCGGCCCACTGGTAACTGGAATAACTTAAAATAAACGTGTTAGAATGTAAGAGGAAGGATCCGCTAGTGGCTCAACCACAGTTTCAACTGTCTGACTCGTTTACTGACTTTATGTTAAGCTACAAAACAAATGCTAAATATTTAATTTAACTCCACAACGACACTGTTGATGCTGCAGCAACTAAACTGTGGAGTCAAATTAAATCAAAGATCTCATATATTTCTCACTGTGCTCTGGGACAAACTGAGCTTTGACTGCGAACCTCTCTGTGGTCTTCTCAGATCACCTTCTACGAGGACAGAAACTTCCAGGGCCGCTCCTATGAGTGCGACACCGACTGCCCTGACATGCACCCCCACTTCAGCCGCTGCAACTCCATCAAGGTGGAGAGCGGCTGCTGGGTCCTGTACGAGAAGCCCAACTACACCGGCTACCAGTACGTCCTGACCCGAGGGGACTACCCTGACTACCAGCGCTGGATGGGCTACAACGACACCATCCGCTCCTGCCGCACCTTCTCCTATGTGAGTACATGTTTGGGTTCATTGATGAAGAGTGAGGACAGTGAAAGAAGATGAAGAAGAAGCTTGAATGTATTGTACTGTCTTTCACTGATGCCGCCCAAATTTTGAGTTTTTCCTCCGCCATGTTCCTGCAGACCAGCGAGGGCCCCTACCGCATGCGCATCTACGAGCGGCCCAACTTCCAGGGTCAGATGATGGAGTTCAGCGAGGACTGTGAGTCGGTGCAGGATCACTTCCGCAGCCGCGACATCTACTCCTGCAACGTCATGGACGGCTACTGGACCCTGTACGAGCACCCCAACTTCCGTGGGCGCCAGTACTTCATGAGGCCCGGGGAGTACCGCAAGTTCAGCGACTGGGGGGCCACCTGCGCCGCCACCGGCTCCTTCCGCAGAATCACAGAGTTTTAATTTGATATCGTTTTGATTTTATTTATATTTTAGATTCATGAGAAAGAGGAAAAAAAACACCCAGTAACTTCTCTTAAAGTCTATTTGTGGAATCTGGTAATGAGATAATGTGGAGTGGGATGTTTCATTGGGCTGTGATCAACAAGATGTTATTTTAAAAAGCTGAATAAATGAATCTATTGTAAACTATTTTCTCTGCCTGTGAATAAATATTTTGCCTGATTCAACTCTTTAAAAAGCCGTTTTTGGAAACATTTTAATATAATGACTGTTATTGTTTTTTCTTTGTGGATTAGCGTGATTTCACCAGAGTGTCACTCGGTGGAGCTCATTCTGACACTGAGGCCCAACGGTCGCCTTAAATTCAAATGAATGAACACTTAAAGACACTGTAACGCCTTTAACTAACGTCTCCGGTTAACCAGACCCCAAACTGTCTTTGGACAGAAGGAGGAAGCCAAAGAAAACCACTGTACCACCGTGCCGTCCCTTTTTAAAATTTTATTTTCTAAAATGTAAAAAAAAAAAAAAACATTCTTCAGTCTCACAATGTTAAAGAAAGTTTCTGGATTCTGAAAATACCAACATGTAATGAGTTGTTTTCTGATTCACATCCTTCCACCAGGTTTTGTGAAGATGTACTCGGTTGTTTTTGTGTAATCTGGTTAACAAACAAACAAACTGAGTGACAGGGATGAAAACAAAACCTCCTCTGATTTAATCTGGTGATGAACGAGTCCTCGTCCTCTCTGCCGAACTCAACCACACACACGAAGATAATCTTATTTATTAAACAGTTTTGATGAATAAAATCCACATCGTAGAAAATTCCACACGTCAACAGAGACAATGGTTTTTTTAACGACACAATAAAAATCAGGTTCAAAACATATTCAGGTTGACCTGGAGTTATGACTTCACACATCAGCGTCACGGTCTCGAATGGAGTGAATTGTCCCTTTTGAAAACAAACAGGAGACGGTGACAGAGCTGATTGGCTGATGGTTCCAGTTCCTGTCGCTGCTGTGGCTCTTGCTGGAAGCTGAGCTCTTGACAGAGGACGTGACAAACGGGAGCGGAGCGACTCCTGTAGAGTCTGTGCTGACACCAGGCCTCATCACAATGACAGCACACACACAGCTCACACACAGAGGACGGTATATAAACATGGAGGCTGCGTTCAGGGGGACGAAACAGAGGATTGACCCACAGCGTCCAACATGGGGAAGGTTTGTGTCTTCTGAACGTCCAACACGTGTTTTCATCTTTGTGGATCGTTGTGTCGAGTGAGACAGACTTTCTCTTTTCCTCTGCTCCACCAGATCATCTTCTACGAGGACAGGAACTTCGAAGGCCCTCACTATGAGTGCATGAGCGACTGCTCCGACCTGCACTCCCTGTTCGACCGCTGCCGCTCCATCCGGGTGGAGAGCGGCATGTTCATGATCTACGACCGTCCGGGCTTCACGGGGAACCAGTTCTTCATGAGGAGGGGGGACTACTCCGACTACCTGGGCACGACCAGCATGAACGACTGTGTCAGGTCCTGTCGCATGATCCCCATGGTGAGGCCCTCTGTAAACTAACATACACACTGTACTTCATACAATACTACATCTGTGTAATAGTACTCAACAATATCAAGGGAAATAAAAAGAAAGATTATGACACATTATTAAAGTGAGACATGAGGATGTTTAAAAGGTTTATT